TGCCAGACATCTATACTTGGCATGTACATGACAAGGCTGGAACATGAAGTTCTGCCCAGAAGAGGATCCAGTATACCTCTCTTGCAGCAAGACTCCTGGTTCCTCCCTGATGGTTGATGTATGCCGCTGCTGTTGTGTTCACTGATTGAATATGCTTTGGAGACACAGCAAAAATCTCCTGACACTCCAGGATGTTGGTCAGAAAGGACGAATACTCTGGAGCAACAGCATGCCCAGGACTCTTCCCAGCCTGATAGACTTGTATTTGTTGTGAGGATCCTTCAGAAAATGGGAAAAGAACTTCCAGAGCCAGATTCCTACGTCATCAAATCAAGGACTATCTGTTCTTCAGTGACCAATGAATCAGTCTGCAAAGGGACCAGATTGACCTGTCCATGCCAACAGAATGGTATTTTGTAGAGGTCTGGAGTGAGACTCGGCAAATGGAACTGCCTCCAAGACGGCTACCATCAGGGCCAGGACTCATGAAAAAAGCAGAGCCAGGTCACTTCTGGATGGGAATGGAAGGAACACACTGGAGCATCTGGGTGTAGTGGACAGCCCAGGCCAAACGAGTTGGTTTCAGCAATGATTTCTGAAGGTTATACCCAAACTTCTGTAACTTCTGGATAGTAAAAGCCACATTGTCCAACAGAGCCCATACTGTTCCTTCAACAGGAGGTTGTCCAAGTATCCCACAAGAACGGAGCAGGGCTAATGCTGGGGCTAGCACCCTGGTGAACATAAAGATGCAGATGAAAAGTCGATGTTCAGGGCCATAAACTGGTTGTTTAGGGGCCCCACAGCAAATCCATAACAAACATTAATGCACTGGAAAGATAGGAACATGCATGCAAGCATGCTTGATATCTACAGAAGGTCTCTCTTGTAAAGACAGATTTGGTGTATTCCATGCAAAATGTCTGGGCTTGAACGAAAACATTCAGAGCTTTAAAGGATAAGTTCACCTTTTGAACATTACACCTGTATTTAGGATGTAGCATATTCAGCCCCCCTCCCCGAGTTGCCTGTAACAGCTGGCAATGGGTCCTCTTCCCCAGAGTCACATTTTAAAATCAGCACAGCTGCATCATTCATTCACAATGATCTGTGGATGAATAAACTACAAGTCCCATCTTCCACTATGGCAGATGGATTTGTAGATTCAATGGACTGCAGATGCTGATCAACATGCTTGTAGTCCATTCACATTCGCTCCAGCTTTCAAACTAAAAGCCTGTGTAAACGTACAGGCAGAAAGCTGAAGGGAGTCTAACATTGCACCTGTGATCTTTTACTTGTACTTAGCAGTATGCTTCCAATCTCTGTAGAGAGATATGGAAAAGTGGATGCAAAGGAAAAGTTGATACAGCCTTTGGAATTTTAAAATACCCAAGACTGGCAACAGCATATTCAAAGCAGGAGCCAGATTCTCTAATTTCAGAGTGGTGCTTTTTAATTTGGTAGTGATAGGAGAAGACTGATTCCTAAGGGTGAGCTTATCAGTCAGATATTGGAGCAACTTGGAGTCTCTGCAGCCGATGACTTAGAAGTCACTAAAGCTGCAGGTACGTCAGACATAGAATCTGGAGGAGAAGGGCACAGGAGTATGCTTGTGTGACAATTATTTGTCATGTAGCTTGATTTGGGCCATGAAGTTCTGCAGGACACTAGTAAAAACCTCAATCAAAAGGGCATAGGATGCAGCTGTACCTGATGGAGCTAAAGGAGGACCTCACTACACAATAAAAATAATCAAACATTTGGCCAAATTCATTATAAAATGACCACTGCCACCTGGTAGAATTCATGTACTCTTTGGCGTTTTCAAGCATAAAGCTTTAGCATAGTTCTCAGAATGTCCAGGAACAGTTATGAGCTCATTTTTAACTGTATAATTAAAATACATTTCTTTGTAATCCATCCATAAATTCTTTTAAAGGATATGGCTCCATCGCTTGGACAAAACTGAGAATGCAAAACTATTAAACATAGCATAGGTAAATCCTCCAATCATGGGGAAGTGCTCTGCCTCTCCAAATGATTCACACATTATCTGTGATGAAAGAACTCTGTAACTTTATACTTTAACCCTTTGCAGAGATTGTTAGCAAATACCTTTTTTTACTTTCCAGAAATATTTTTAGTTGACTGTCAGCTTAAAAAGTATACAAGAGGCCACTGTTGCAGCTTCATGCGTGTTTAGAGAAACACACCTCACATATGCAGCAATTATTTATTTCATCTGAAAGAATCAACCCCAATTCCAAAAAACTTGGCATCCTGTGTAAAATCTATATGAAAACAAAATGCAATGGTTTGCAAATCTCAAAGATTTAGTGATATCCATCACAGAATCAGGCCGGTTTTTAATGCAGTGCCGTCTGAGGGCCCGAAGACCACAGGCATCCAATACTGAATTGTGGCCTTGTCTATTGTGCATAGACATTTCTCTGAATCTTGACATTATGTACTATAGATGAGATTTTATATATTTGCAATTTTACATTGAGGAACCTTATTCTGAAATTGACAAATTTTAGACATTTTGACTCTCGAAAATGCTCTTTTTATGCCCAATCATGTTGCTAATTAGTTGCAAAATGTTCTTCCAGCTTTTCTAGTTAGTACCACTTCCTTTGTCAGCTTTTTGTTAATCTGTCAGAACTTTTTTGAGTTGTGTTGCTGCCATCAATTTCAAAATTACCTTTTTTCTCAGTTTTTTAAACATTTGATATGATTTCTATTGTGAATAAAATGTGGGTTTATGAGATTTGCAGCATCCCAACTTCTTTGGAATTGGGATTGTAGGAGCAACCCCTTCACTGTCACTTCTGGTTAACAAAAGGTAATAGCTCAAGACTTTGTTTTACGATGCGGAGCTACTGAATCATTACATTCTGTTTTATATGTAGATGAGATTTTTTACACAGCATCCCAACTTCTTTGGAATTGGGATTGTAGGAGCAACCCCTTCACTGTCACTTCTGGTTAACAAAAGGTAATAGCTCAAGACTTTGTTTTACGATGCGGAGCTACTGAAGCTAGAACATGACAGATTTTATATCTGCATCCAGATATTGATACTAGTTTGTGGTCCAGACCTGCTCAGCTATGGCATATCCAGGGGTGGCTTACTTTTTACCCTTGTTAGTCTAAACCTTCTTTTTAGCAATGTCACACCAACAATATTCCATCTTTATATTAATACACACCAAATGGCAGTAGTTCACATGCAATGATACCTACTGGTGCAGGAGATGTCACATAGGTGTTTTGTTAAATCTTAGCTCCAGTCAACTTTGTTTTGTGTTTATCTCATGAAGTGTGGAAAGGTTATAAATGTAAGGTGTAGAACTGCTTTCATAATTTTTATTGATCTATTAGGGTGACTTCTTCTCGCTTCCAGTCCAGGTGATAGGTGTCTGACAGAGCAGTAATACGTTTTGTGACTGGAGTTGAGCTTATTGACAAGTGTGTATACAAATTAAGTTTAGTGTGGTATTCAGAGGCAGTCATATCATTAATGTCTAGAATTACAGTCACATAAAACCAGAAATCACAGCAGTTTATTGTTCTGACTTTATTTATCATACTTCCTTTAAGTACAAAAGAATAAAAAAACAAGAGCTGTCAATTTGTATCATGCTAAGTCTTAAATAAAAAGAATGGAATGTGTTTTGTAGATTTCCTAATAACTAATCAAGTCCTTAATTGTTTTTCAAAGAGGTATGCCGGTTCTCTGAAGAACACTGTAGCAGAGGAAGGAAAAAAAAAAATAAAGACACTGTTGGGAAGACTTCTTGTCACTGCATCCCTAGCTGAAAATTCTAGTATATTCAGCATCTTTAATATTAGTGGTGCTTTAAGTTTGGGTACCTCTGACACAGTTGTGACCAAACAGATTAAAGGTGTTAAAGCTACATTATCTTTTGGAGGCAATCAGATAAACCTAACACATTAGTTTCCAACCTGTTAGTACCATATCTAAAAAGGGGGAATTGATACTTATGATAATTTAATCTTTTTTTCTGTTCATAAAAAATATCTCTGTAAAATAACATTTATTGTATAGTACAGACAACATTCACCAAGAATAAAAAAAATACCTTTGTATTTCATGTACAGTACACAGATGATCAACAGTTTTCACGCAATCGTTTAACAGTGATCAATTGGAATTGTTCATTTAGGAGGGTGTTTTGGCCTTTCCATTACTCCTAAAGTCCCACAGTGTATAAACACAGACAAGGCACTGTGGGATAACGGAAGCCCAGTTAACCGATTTTCACTAGTGTTCTAAGCAGAATATATTGTTTCTGATGTAGGCAGCATGTGATTGAAAAAGCCACAATATTCACAGAGACAAAACAAATGGATTGTGAAGGAACTTCTCTGGTGGGGTCAGATTTCACATTACTTGCCTTGTGTCTACCACCTTTGACCAGCAGGTGGTGATGTTGAGCTAACTTTCATCATACAAGCTGCCCTGACTTGCATGTTTTTTTTTTTTTTTTTTTTTTTTTTTTTTTTTTAGATAGACTGGCAACAGGGACCTTAAAATTACTTTGATAAATTTTAGACTTGTTGCATGATATTTACAAGCAAATAAGTAAAAATATGTACCACAGAAATACTGGATGCTTGTAGAATGATAACCCAGTGCCATTTACAGCTATGTTTGTCCACAGGATGGCCTTGAAAAAAGAAAAATACAAATCCATTAGGGCTTGGTATGAAGAGATGCTTTGGTAATGGAACCTGTGCAGGAAAGGGCAGCTGAGGTGTGTTTTTTTTATTGTACACAGGTATAAGACCGTGTCAAAGCAAACCACTTTCCAGTAATAGAATAAAACTAAAAAATAAACATTTCATTAGGTACCACTCAATATCTAACTCGCACGTAAGTGTTCAGGTTTGAAAGTTTTTCCTTAAAAAGTCCAACATGTATCCTGCATGTTCAACACTGAACTATATGCCAAGAGCAACAGGCAGTATGTTTAAAGTGTAATAACAGTGCCATCTTCCTCAATGCCTCCTTTGGGTATGACCAAGCTGTTCCTTGGGTCAGCCTTCAAGCTGTTGAGAATTTTGTGGATACTTCCATTACTCTCACGCCCAGAATGGTTTAGAGTCAAGTCTCTTTCTAACCTGTGGCTAAGGCTGGTGCCATTGATTCGCGAAAGGCTGCCTGATGGCAGGCTGTGAGATTTGGGAATGTTGCGTGGCTCAAGGCTACCTTCTATAACAATATCCGCATCATCGTCACTCTCCATTTCATCCGGGTTAAAATTCTGTAGTAGATGAGCTGACGGCAAGCTATGGTGACTGGCCGTGCTGTCTGTAGACTGACCAGAGCTGCCAGACATGCGACTGCTTCGGATAACATTGTTTCTTTGGTTGGCTGGCTTAACCGTAATGATTAGATTGTGGCTGTTTGCTATCATCATATCTGTGACCTGATCAAGAGTCTTCCCAGCTACCTCAATACCATTTACTTCCAGAACCTCATCGTTCACAGCCAGCAGACCAGTACTCTCTGCCAAGCCTCCTGGAACCATTCTGGAGATGAAGATACCTGGCACTTTCTCCAAACCATGAGGGGTCACCCGGACACTAGTTCCATCTCGAATATAAAATCCTAGAGGCTTTTCGCATCCATGTCTGTATAGTCTTACTCGTCTGTGTGTTTCTGGAAGGATATCCACATCGATGATGGAGGACACTGGTCTAAAATCATGAGGCATACTGATATTGATGTGCGGTTTCTTGTGGCGGAGGCTGTCATTTCGTAATGCCACCAAAGCATTTTTCTTCTTTCTATTCAAAGTGGCTGACCCGAATGTGTTGTAGTCTACTTCTTCTGTAAACAGACAGAAATCAATGTTAGAATTGTTTTTTTATATATAGAAAATCCTTTTGTAAATACATATTTAAAGGATAAATTAATCTTTTATAACATGTTACACCCAAATCCAAGGTGTAACCTATTACTAAGTGAGCAGCCCCTGCACTCCCCCCGGTGTGACAGTGGGCCAGGGATCTTCTTCCTGTACCCACTGTTACAAAAAAAAAAAAAAAAAAAAAAAAACCACCCTGCTGCATCATTTATTCACAGAAATCTGTGAATGGGAGAACTACAACTACCGTCAGCCATTGTGGCTGACAGCTTGTAATTCTCAATGAACTACTAGGATGCTGGTGAGCACTCTAATAGTTCATTGGTGCTTCCTATCATTCAGTAACTGCCTGCCCGTAGGAGGAATGAGCAGACATCTACACTGAAAGTCTGCGATCTGCTGATTACAGGTGTAATGCTCTGCAGGCTCTTAATAAAAAAAAAAAAATAATAAATGCACATTTTTACCTGCAAAAAGAAGATGTGCATTTATTTATTTAAAGGTGAATTTATCCATTAGTAATACATCTTGTAAATACAAAACAATAAAGCAAGTACGTTTTTGACATTCAGAAGGGAGGTGAACAGCAACCATAAATCACCTTTCTGCAGTAGCCAGCTGTAGACTATACAGTTAAAGTGACTCCATCGCCACAGTATACATTACAGGCTGAACACATGCACTTACTCAACCCCTGTATTTTAAATCTCAGTCACTTGAGAAAGCTTCCGGTCACATAACTATTACAATCATATTATGCACAACTGGTGATAAGCTGGTTGGATGAATCTACGTCACAGGAGTGCAGAACTAAGTGCATTCCTGTGACCCACAGGAGAAGCAGGGTAAAAGGAGCTTTGGCCCTACATCTCCTTTATGGTGTATAGCATAAAGGAATACACCCTTGTTAGCCTATACAGCGGTTTATCTTTTTGTACTAGCATGTCACTGTGTGTAGGCAGCCTATATAAGTTAACTGTTAGGCATTGGTTGTAGAGACTTATCTACATATCTGAGTCTGAAAGGTACTCAGCGACAGGCGCATGGCCCCAGACGCACAGACTCTGTGTCAGGGGTAGTGCACCTTTTCCTCCATACCGGTCAAACTTGGCTATGTAGATGAGTCTGTACAGTCAATGTGTCATACAGTTCTGCCTGCAACTAAGTACATAAAGATACACTGCTGTACAGGGCTGAGAGCCTGTGTGAATGAGCTCTAAAGAGAATCACTTCAATTCTAAACTAAATATCACATGGAATTATTATTAAGCCAGCAAAGCAATGGTATCAAAATATTTCCTGTTAAAGGCCAGAGTTAAATTTATTACATTTGACAAATCATTCAAACATTCCCACTAACAGGAAATTTCAAATTCTTTTGGCACCTCATGCACGCTCCCAAAACGGAATTCTCTGCCCCAGGCCAACCAATCAGAAGTAGCGTTTATCTTCCTGATAGTTAGCTAGACATACACACTAACAGACAGTTCTGCAGAACAGCCAGACAGATAACAATGGGGACTGAAAAGAAATTGTGAGTACAGTTGCTAGCATTGGACAAGTTATTTGTTCCAGAAGAGGGGGAATGTCACAAATAGGCAGTAAATTCGTATTTAGTTTGTATTCCACCAAGATCACAACCAGAAAGACACAATGGTTTGATACGGTGTTTACTAGCACACCCAAGTACTCACACTTTGAAGTAAACCAGGACTGCAGCTGGGTACAGGCCACACTCTAAATACAGCCATACAAAATAAAATAACCTCTGTCTACTGCCAGTGTTGTGCCCTTTCTTCTTGTGTAACAAAACATTCTGTGTCATTTTGATAAGTGAGCACCATGAACTGGATGACAAATCCTTAGAGGAGAATCACAGTCTGTGAAATAAGTTTCTAGGTAGCACGTATGAGATGGATTCTGAAGGTGACGCATTTTCAGGACACAGTGAATGTCACTGGCTTGACAGTTCCAAAAGTCAGTGAACAAGTATTCAAGATTGGGGGGGGGGGGGGTTCTATTACAGAAGGTTTTTTACCCTCATGCATAGAATGTATGAAGGTAAAAAACCTTGAGCCTTTACAACCACTTTAATCAAACATTGATCCACTAACCATAACACTATAACATGAATCAACTGACAATAACATGACATAACACTATAACATGGATCCACTGACCAGAACATAACTGACACTAGAACATAAATCCACTGACAACATAACATGGATTCACTGACCAGAACATAACCGACACTAGAACATAAATCCACTGACATTATAACATGGATCCACTGACCATAACATAACCGACACTAGAACATAAATCCACTGACAATATAACATGGATCCACTGACCAGAACATAACAGACACTAGAACATAAATCCACTGACAACATAACATGGATCCACTGACCAGAACATAACTGACACTAGAACATAAATCCACTGACATCATAACATAGATTCACTGACCAGAACATAACAGACACTAGAACATAAATCCACTGACAACATAACATGGATCCACTGACCGGAACATAACTGACACTAGAACATAAATCCACTGACAATATAACATGGATCCACTGGCCATAACATAACCGACACTAGAACATAAATCCACTGACATTATCACATGGATCCACTGACCAGAACATAACAGACACTAGAACATAAATTCACTGACAATATAACATGGATTCACTGACCATAACATAACCGACACTGGAACATAAATCCACTGAAAACATAACATGGATCCACTGACCATAACATAACTGACACTGGAACATAAATCCACTGACAACATAACATGGATTCACTGACCATAACATAACTGACACTGGAACATAAATCCACTGACAACATAACATGGATTCACTGACCATAACATAACCGACACTAGAACATAAATCCACTGACAACATAACATGGATCCACTGACCATAACATGATATAACACCATAACATACAGTTGTGTTCAAAATATTAGCAGTGTGTTTAAAAAATGAGTAAAGCTCAAACTCCTTATAATAGCTTTTATTTCCATACACGGAAATGCACTGAGAACACTGTACAGTCTATTCCAAATCAAAACATGAAGAAAAATGTTGCAAATTTGTTATTACTTTACAGAAAGTGGAGAAAAAGGAATATTAGGCTGTTCAAAAAAAATAGCAGTGTCTGCATTTTTATTTACAAACTCGAGCATTTACTGTATAAACTGAAAAATGTGAAGATTTTGCTTTCCTGTGAATCACTGAACTAATATTTAGTTGTAGAACCTGTTTCTGAGAACTGCTTCACATCTGTGTTGCATGGAGTCAACCAACTTCTGGCACCCGTGAACAGGCATTCCAGCCTAAGACGATTGCACTACATTCCACAATTCCTCTGCATTTCTTGGTTTTACCTCAGAAACAGCATTTTTTATGTCACCCCCAGGGGTGGACTGACCATCCAGGGGTGGACTGACCATTTGGAAACTCGGGCACTGCCCGAGGGCCCGGGGTCAGTAGGGGGCCCCCATGAGATGCCCCTGGTACCTTTTTCATAGGCTTTTTTGAGTTTGGGCAAGGACACAGGGGCCCCATGATCCCCTATTGCCCGGGGGCCCCATGAGTTGTCAGTCCGCCCCTGGTAACCCCACAAGTTTTCTATTGGATTAAGGTCCGGGGATTGGGCTGGCCACTCCATAAAGTTAATCTTGTTGGTCTGGAACCAAGATGCTGCGCACACTGGTATGGTTGAGGTTGTTGTCTTGATGGAGCACCCATTTCAAGGACATTTCCTCTTTGGCATAAGGCAACATGACCTCCAAGTATTTTGATGTATTCAAACTGATCCATGATCCCTGGTATGTGATAAATAGGCCCAATACCACAGTATGAGAAACATCCCCATATCATGATGCTTGTGTCTCCATGCTTAAAAGTGTACTGTGGCTTGAATTCAGTGTTTGGGGGTCGTCTGACAAACTGTCTCTGGCCACTAGACCCAAAAAGAACAATCTTACTTTCATCAGTCCACAAAATGTTGCGCCACTTCCCTTTAGGTCACCAAATGTGTTCTTTGGCAAATTGTAGCCTCTTCAGCACATGTCGCTTTTTCAACAGTGGGACTTTGCGGGGGCTTCTTGCCGATAGCTTGGCTTCACATAGGCGTCTTCTAATTGTAACAGTACTCACAGGGAACTTTACACCTTCTTTGATCTTCCTGGAACTGATCATATTCTTTGCCATCTTGGCTATTCTTTGATCCATTCGAATGGTAGTTTTCTTCCACATCTTTCTGGTTTTGATTGCTATTTTAAAGCATTTGAGATCGTTTTAGCTGAGCAGCCTATCAGTTTCTTCACTTCTTTATAGGTTTTCCTCTCTCCAATCAACTGAACAATGTCTGGAAGGACCAATTTAACCCAAATTTTCAGAGAAATGCACTATACCTAGCACATACAACATTTGCTGCTTTCGTCCTAAAATAATTGCCACCTGTTTTTTCACAGACTGAATGACCTCACTAATTGAACTCCACACTGCTATTATTTTGAACGCTGCCCTTTTCAATTAATGATTCAGTTACACAGAATCAGCAGCATGCATGTCATGACTGTTGGGTCTGTTGGTTTTCCATTACCCACCACCTACTAGTAAAATATTTGCCATGTAGAAATATAATTTATACCAAAAACAGTGATTGATCTTGTTAGTGATGTTGGACTGTTATTATTTTGAGCACAACTGTAAATCCATTGACCATAAAATGACACAACTGACAATATAACATGGATTCACTAACTATAACATGAATCCACTGACCATATCACAACACAATGGACACCATAACATGGATCCACTTACCATAACACAACATAATGGACACAATAACATGGATCCACTAAACTAACATAACACTATACCAGTGGTCGGCAAGCCGCGGCTCGCGAGCCACATGCGGCTCTTTACACACATTAATGCGGCTCTTCTGTGGGCCGGGCGCCCGCTCCCCTCCCTCATCTCGGGCGGCCGCCCCAAAAGTCAGGACTCTGCAGCTAGCCTAGCAATGGGCAAACTACGGCCCGGCGGACCTT